TAGATTACCTTTTCGTTGTTTCAAAAAATTGTGGTTGCAATTTTTACGCGGAATGAAATAACATTTTTTTCAAACTTTTACAAACATCAATAGAAATCTGTTTAGCAAGTTAAATATAAAATACAAAAAAGCAAAAAACACTATAAATTTGTTTTTTTTTATTTGCGCAGATCGCGCACGTACTTTGAACGAAACGCGTGAAATCTTTGTTAATAACTGTTTCTCTCTCTCTCTCTCTCTCTCTCTCTCTCTCTCTCTCTCTCTCTCTATTTCTATCTCTCTCTCAATAGTACCGTTCATATAGCCTCGATATGGCGCTCTAAAGATCGAGTCATCGAAGCACTGATGTAGACGCAATTAGCATCAAGCGAAGTATTTGCATTAGTGATCTGGAAAATCTTCTGATGTCAACGGGTTGATTTATACCGCCAAGGTATATATTTCATGATCTAAGTTCAAGAAACGAATGTGACTTTGATGTAGACTGAGCTTGATAGCCCAGTTAGGAAAACGATCTATGTATGTGTGTATAATAGAGTATTGCAGTGCTTCTCAAATCACTTCCCTGAACCACATTTGATGTCGGTTGTTATTCGAGAACGTATTTAGATATTTAAAAATAATCAAGGAAAATGATTTAAAATTAATTTTAGCCAAACACAGTATTGTTGTTTATTTTATCTATAAAAAAATATAAATCTCAGAGAGAAGGAGTCTATAAAATATGGTAGGTTTTACGTGGACATCATCGAGAGCGTTATACTCTCACGTTGATCAAATTCTTCAAAATAACATTGCTTCAAAATATGTTTATGTACAGCATCAAAAAGTCAGTGGATATAAGAGTGAGAAAGGAGAAGCCTTCGCGATTCAGAAAATATCCGCGCGAGTGGGCAGCGGCTCATCTTTCTCTCGTCCCTCTCTTCTTTCACATGTTCTCTTTCTTTATTTTTTTCTCATGAAAGAATCTCAATACGCGTCAGACACATGCACATTTTCCAAAACACTAAAATAATTAATTAAATAATAATTAATTTGTAAGTAACAGAAAAACTTCTAAATCGTTTATCTCATTGTTTTAAATATTTCTAAGAAAACTCAACAAAAATATATCTTTGTTGACAATTATGTGCAAATGAACGAAGCAAGGTGTGAGCACGACTCAAAATTAAATAAAAATATCAAAAAATATCGAATGTTTATCAATGGATACATGTTGTACAGAGTCGCGTGTAGCGTCATTGTAGCTCTGCAAGATCTCCCGTCGTTACCGTTTGTTTTATCGCATTTGTATTTCTGCGGTTACACGTAGTTAAATAACCGACCATTATCTGCTTCCACGTAAAATACGGAAAATCATTTCGCACTAAGCATGCCGCTATTTCCTCCTCTCTGGTATCGCTTCCTTGTTGCAATTAATTGTACATTTGTGTTTTCCACTTCGTATAGATACGTCATGTCTCTCAAGTGCAAACTCTCTCTCTCTCTCTCTTGTTCTTCATTCTTATTATTTTGTGTTCTTTACCAAATACTTGTAAACAATTTTGTAGTATACTTTTATTATATATATATATACTACTTTTCGACGCTTCAGTTTTCTGCAATGTTTTTACGACGATTGATAAATTTTGCATCGAGCCGGAATACCTACATGTAAACTCGACTATCGAAAGAGGCCGCCTTTAAATAAAAAGTATCGCTTCGCTTGTATCTCTTCAGGGTCTTCGACCGATTTCTCTCTCCTTGTCCCCGCGGCCTTTTTATCTGTTGTGCTTCTACTGCGGAAAAAGACTCACGTCAATGCCCTGATAGCGATAGATTGCGCAGTCCGCTCAATTGCGTTCCACCTGCATTTCTTTTTTCTAACGTTTATTTAACGTCTCTTTTTCTCTCTTTCAAAAATTGATAAGATTTTCAATATGATATTTTTCTAACTGAATAATGATATCGTAAAAAACAAAGCCGTCGAGTTTTCTTACGTATATTATGTTTTATCTAAAACAAACGTTTGATCAGTTAAACATCGATCTCCGTTTGAGAGAATAGAAACTTTACATTTATTCATAAATTAAGAAAATAAAGATAAAATGTATATTTTGTTGAAAATGCCCCCGTCATTTTCAACGAAAATGTGTAAAAACATGCTTTCTGCTCGAGATCGTCTCGAATCATCGATCAGCGTGAAATGTACAAACAACTCACATTGTCGTAGTGATATGAAAACACCAAGTGTATTGCAGACAAACAAACATGCAGCACATTGAAAATTCTCTCAGTGGTTATCGAGACACAATGACGAAATGGGGTCAGCTTGCTCGCGTTGGCACTACGGCGATAACGATCCTCTCGTTCTTTCGGTCCCACGTGTGATCTTCCGGTTTCCGGTTGCGAGCCCGATCGGTTTCTCTTTATCTCCTGTCCTCATTCCCGTCATTTTTCCACTTGTCAACCGATGACGATCATCGCGACAATTTTCCGCTCGATCGATTAATCTCTCTCTCTCTCTCTCTCTCTCTCTCTCTCTCTCTCTCTCTCTCTCCACGCGTTTTTGTCTTTCATACATTTATTCGCGAGTAGACTTTCACGTGATTGAACGCGTTTTTTTAATTGACCTATTTGTTTATATTTATTTCAGTCGAGCTATATATCAGTATCTCTGTTTTTCTGAAAAATTAATTGCAAACTCCAAAATTATGTGAACACACGATTGTTGAATGTAAGCGAGTCTGCGGTTGATTCTTATCCTGAGGTTTTTATTTGGTCGCTGAAGTAGGTAAAGTGGGGCTAAATGAAATTCTCATCAGACGGTGCTATCTTATCCTGCACGGGACGAAATTTAATTATGTCTTCCCCACCCTCGACAATCTTGTTATTTACTTCTGAACGTCTGCTTGATATTCTCTAGTCGAAGTTGTCTACGGCGCGTCACGCTCTGTAAGGATTTCGAAGTTTCCCCAATCTCGGGCATGTTTCTTCGATAATGGAATAGAAACAGCCGGTTTCACCGTTACATATCGCATACACAGTTTGTCCGGAAAGTTCCCGGACTAC